ATATTAATAATTCTTAAAATGACTGGTTGTTTTTCAATTCGGAGTATTCTAATTATCTTTCTAGTTAGAAAGTTGTTTACTCCGACGCAACTTGAATTTTGCTCGGGTCGTGTCGGACTGGAAACGGCTTGACCAAAATGGATAAAAATAAACACAAATTGACATGAACATATATTATTGGTTCTGTTTGTTTTGATATCGGACCAATAAGTATGGCATCATAATTCCCTGGTATCGGGCCGATAAGTATCGGGCCAATAACTATCGTGCACCCCTATTTTGGACCCTTAAAAGCCAGCTGGAACAGATAGTTTAGGGCCTTTCTTTATTAATACTGCAACATCTCTTATTACAACTCCTCTGGCAAACATCTTTAACCTGTCTATCCATACTGGTGAAATTCCACCTGACCGGAAATCTGCTCTGGTGCACCCTCTCTTCAAAGGTGGTGACTGCTCTGACCTGAACAGTTACCCGCCGATCTCTATTTTATCCTGGGCAGCTGAGGTCCTGGAGACTCTTGTTAATAAACAGCTAACATGCTATCTCCTGCACAGTCTGGCTTCTGTTCTGGTCATGGATGTGTCACAGCAGTTTTAAAAGTTGTGGATGATATAACCACACAACGGCTCAGTGGTTAGCACCAACGCCCCACAGCAAGAAGGTCCTGGGTTCAATCCCCAGTTCGGACCTGGGGTCTTTCTGTGCGGAGTTTGCATATTTTTGTGCTTGCGTGGGTTTTCTCTGGGTACTCCGGTTTCCCCCACCCCCCAAAACATGTATCAACAGTTCCTGCAAGATGAAGGCATTGAAGCTATGGACTGGCCTGACCTGAATCCAATATAGCACATCTGGGACATCATGTCTCGCTCCATCCACCAATGTCACATTGCACCACAGACTGTCAGGAGTTGGCGGCTGCTTTAGTCCAGGTCTGGGAGGAGATCCCTCAGGAGACAATCCACCACCTCACCAGGAGCATGCCCAGGCATYGTAGGGAGGTCATACAGGCATGTGTAGGCCGCACACAATACTGAGCTTCATTTGGACTTGTTTTAAGGACATTACATCAAAGTTGGATCAGCCTGTAATGCGTTTTTCCACTTTAATTTTATGTGACTCCAAATCCAGACCTCCATTGGTTAATCATTTTGATTTCCATTGATGATTTTTGTGTGATTTTGTTGTCAGCACATTTAACTTTGTATAGAACAAAGTATTCAATGAGAATATTTCATTCATTCAAATCCAGGATGTGTTATTTGACTGTTCCCTTTATGTTTTTGAGCAGTAWATACAGTATATAGTKCTACACTTATAWGACATCATGCGTGTGAATGTGGTTTGTTCAAATAGGCTACAGAGAACAGATCTGTTTTATGTTTGTTTTCCATCAACAAAATATTCTACGGGGTGGGCCATTTAAATGGATACACATAAATAAAATGGGAATGGTTGGTGACATTAACTTCTTGTTTGTGGCACATTAGTATTTGGGAGGGGGTAAACTTTTCAAGATGGGCGGTGGCCATGGTGGCCATTTTGAAGTCACCCATTTTGGATCCAACTTTARTTTTTTCAATGGGAAGAGGGTCATGTGACACATCAAACCTATTGAGAATTTCACAGTAGATACCAGAACATAAAACAGTCACAACCCATAAGTGAATTATGCTGGGTGGGAGCTTTGAGTATGTGCGGAGGTCATATATGCTACCAAGATGTGCTATCTAATTTATTACTTGTTTTGTATTTAACTTAAGTTGTTTACTTTTTTTGATTGCATGTTTGGGGTTACATTTTATTTATAATGCATAAAACATAAAATATTTTAAATACAGTCGTCTACAGAACCTTCAGTTGTTTATCTCCTGRTTTAATTTTTGTTATGCACTGAATGGAAATGAGGCATATTCATTTTATTTTTATTGCATTTTATTGCTCTTTCATTGTAAATATAT